TTGGCGGAACAGGGTCCTGGGGAGGCCTGCAGAGGACCCACCGCCAGTCACGGCCTCCCAAGCTCCATAATTTTTGACAGGTGATCAATTTGTGTGTAATCTCGTGTTGTTGTGACGGCACACAACTCCTTTACGACAGTGAGCTCTGGACGTTTTTGGATGATGGATTCATTCCAACTGTCCAACTGCTGACAGTACATGTTTGAACTGACTGTTTGGTTCCTTGGTAGGAACTCAAAACACATGACACCTTTAAAATCCTGCCACACTGAGAACATAACCTTCCTCTGATGAATGTCTGCTTTCAGTGTCATATGAGGCAACTTATCATGTCGGGATCAAGACCATTTGCACATCACATTGTTGTAAACAATCCACTTTTCATCACCAGGTATCAGTTGCTTCAAAAAAGGACTGTTTTCCTCCTGTTTAATGAGGACATCACAGATAAGTTTACATGTGCCCCGTCAAATGAACTTGAGTTCATGAGAACCCAAATATTGAGCTTCTTTACATTCTCAGCTTCTTCGGGTGGTTGAATGATTGATGTTCAATGTTTCTGCAATCTCTCATGTCAAGTAACTTGGGTTTGAGTCGATCAATGCAGTTATTTTGTCATCATCAACTTCAGTGGATCTTCCTGACTGAGGCGCGTCAGTGAGATCAAAATCACCAGCACAGACTTTCATGAACCATTGTTGGCACTGACATTTGGAGAGCACTGTCACTGTCAACTCTACGCAGCTTTTTACAAGCTTGACGCACATTCTTCCATTTATGGAAGTAAAACAGTAAAAGATAGCGAAAATGCAGTTTGGTCTTCCATCTTCAACTTCGTATATAATCTCCAAAACTCAACCAGATCACTTGATTTTATTTTTAGAATGATGCTAGAACTGTCAGCTGTCAAATGACATGGCAAATGACTCTAGTACTTCCAAAAATGAACTAGCATTATCTTTTGCAAAAATACATCACAACTTTTCTGAAAACCCACTATATCATATTAGCAGCAAATCCCATGTCATTTAAAATTTAAGAATTTATTTTATTCTTCAATCCTATTCCAGAAAAAATGGAACACTAAAGAGCAGATATAGGTCAGGGAGGGGAGAAATCAAAGAAATCTTTGGAGGATTTTATTATAAAGCCATAGAACTTAAAATTGGGACTAACTAAGAAAGTTAAATAGAGGCCAGACTGTGACACAACTGAACCTGTCATACATGGGAAGGTCCTGGGTTTGTGTTCCGTGGCCTCCTTGTGCACACTGGACATGCATGTGCCCATGATCCAGGCCAGCTGAGAATGGGAGTATGTCACAGCGTGAGGAACGTGTTGCGGGTGCTGTGTCTATCACTATCTATCTCTGCTTCTCATGTAGGAAGTAAATAAACAAACTTGGGCAAAATGGAAACCACAGCAAATACAGGAAACATCCAAATAAAAATCATAATATCAAATTCAAACAAATGTGGAGGGACCAGCAGTTAGCGTAATGGCTATGTTGCTGGACTCCCATGTAGTTGACCACAGTTCGCGTCCTGGACCCGGTGGCTTAAAACTCACGCCGGGCGCATGTGCGTGCGCGCCCAAGATCCCGAGAGAAGAATGGAGGAGAAGGGATTGTGGCATGGCCATCCCCCCTGGGGGATGATTTCTCGCTTTCTGTCTGTCTCTCTCTGTCTGTCTGGCAATCGCATGCGCCCTATGGCAAAAACCTCTCAAAAAAAAACAAACAACAAAAAAAAAAAAACAAATGTAACTGCAGTTTTGCTTTAAATCTACACACATTAAGTTTTAGCAATTAAGAACATCGTCAGAAATAAAATAGGGGGAACCAGCAGTTAGCATAATGGCTATGTCGCTGGACTCCCACGTAGTCGACCACGGTTTGCGTCCCGGACCCGGTGGCTTAAAACTCACGCCAGGCGCGTGTGCGTGCATGCCCAACATCCCGAGAGGAGAATGGAGGAGAAGGGATTGCAGCGTGACCATCCCCCCGGGGGGTGATTTCTCGCTTTCTGTCTCTATGTCTCTCTCTGTCTGGCGAGCGCACGCGCCCTATAGCGAAAACCTCTCCAAAAAAAAAAAGAAAGAAAATAGGTACCTGCAGTTATCACAAGTTGCCAGATCAAAGTGGTTCATAAGATAAGAATCCATAAATTCTTTCCCACATTCTTCACATATTGTATAATCAAATTCCATAACGGGTCCTAAAGAAGGAAGATTAAGTCTCTATGTTACCTTTTCTGTGACTAGGACAATACATTTTCCTCTATTTTCTTGGCTAATCATCATTTTAACCTCTTTAAAAAACAGGTATAGGGACCAGCAGGTGGTGTGGTGGTTACAGTGCTGGACACTCCCACATGGCTGACCACAGTTTGAGTCCTGGACCTGGCAGCTTGCTTTCTCACTCTTTCTCTCTCTCTGTCTCTCTGGTCAAATTAAAATAAATTAATGAATAAATAAAATGAAATAAATAATTATATAAAAAAAGAATGATTAAAAAAAATAGGTATAACTTTAACTGAAATGTGCATATTTTTGAGTCAGGTACTCTACTGGTATGAATCAAAGATCTGGACAAAAGTTTACTTCCAAATATATATACTGTAGCAATAATAATCAAAACAAAAAATAAATAATGTGGGCTGAATTTAAATGAATCACAGTAGAGGCAGAAAATGGAATACTATGTATTAAAAAGCAAGCTCTCAAATAATATTTCATAGGAAAATGCTCTCAAGAGGATTCTTATGAAGGAAAAATATTACATTCTCCTTCATGTATCAAAAATAGCCTCAAAGAAAATATATCAAAATATTAACTGCATAGGGATTCATTATTTAATGGGTACAGAGTTACAGTTTGGAATCAAAAAATTCTAGAGATTGATGGTAGTGACAGCTATACATCAGTGAACGATATACTTAAAAATGGTTAAAATGGTAAATTTTATGTTATTTATACTGGGTTGTCAGAAAAGTCATGACCCGTTTTTTCTATGCAAAAATGGGTCATGACTTTTCGATGACTAGTATTTTACCACAATTTCACACAGTGCTGTCTGTACTGCACAGGCCAAAACCATACGGGATGTCCATGTTTCGTTCCCAGTCCAGCCTAAAAGGCCATGTGTCTGCACCAACTTAGGGAGGCTGAGGCAGAAGGACTGTGAGCTAGAGGCTGGCTGTACAGCACAGCAAGACCTTGCCTAAAATAGAGCAGGCTGTAGTTAGACACACTAGTCCCAGCTAAGAGGCTGAGACAGGAGGATCGAAACATAAAACTCTGTCTTAAAACTAAAATTAAAAAAAAGAAAGAAAAGAAAAGAAGAAAGGTAGGTTGGCTCCTACCCTAGTAACTAACTAAAGGAGCCGGATCCCACATGGCTGACCTCAATACGAATGCCAGCCCCAGTGGCTTGAAAAACACTTCAGGCATGTACGTGTGTGCCCAAGATCCCAACAGGATAGAGAAATGGAGAAGGGACTGTGGCATAACCACACCCTGTTGAGGGGTACTTTCTCCCCCTCTCCATGTTTGTCTCTGTCTCTCTCTGTCAAACATACATACCTTCTAGTAATTAAAAAAAAAAAAAAATCTAGGTATAACTACATTTGCCTACAGTCCTCAAGTACACAATGGATTTAATCTTCTAGATCAAAGGCTCTCAAAATGTGGTTCTGGGGTCAGCAGCAGCAGCATCCCCTAGGAACTGATTAGAAACAAATTTTCAGCCCCACCTCAGACTACTAAGTCGAAAGACATTCTGGGGTTGGGGCCCAGCGATCTCTGTTTTAACACAACTTTCCTAGTGACTTATGAATCACTGTTCAAGACCCTGAAAGTATCTGACAGGCTTTGCTTTACAGACAGCAAGGCTTAATGACCTAAATAAAGCATCTTAATTTTTCTCAGCAAGGCTGAAGAAACAGACTTTTAAAATTAACAAGGAAAAAATGATTTAAAAACTGCTGTTAGGTCAGCAGGTGGCATGGAGGTTAAGGTGGCTGGATCCCACATGGCTGACTGTGTGATTGAAGTCCCAGATCTGATGGAACTGTGCATGCACACCCAAGATCTTGAGAGATTCTAGATTTCTCCTTCTCTGTCTCCAGCGAGCACATGTGCCCTATCGCAAACAAATACGCATTTATTTTTATTTATGTATATGTATATATACACATATTAACCACTCTCCTGACTTCTCCACTAACACAGGTCAGCCACATAAGCAGTACAAATAGGGCCCTGTGTGAAAGCGTCTGACCAAGGGGGCAGACAGGTCACAATGCAGGCCATGATGACTTACTAAGCCATGAATTCAGGCCAGGCTATGCTAGCCCAGAGAAAGGGGGCCTTTTTCTGATTTGTCAAAGAGAACATCTTTTTGGATTTACATGAATTTATTACCAGAGTTCCCGCTGCAAAGAGCAGCATAGTATCAACACATGAAAACAGTAATGGCACCCGCCACATGCGCACCTTAGTCATGCAGCAAAG